TGGCAAACCACTTGTCGGGGACTACCCTGCCGGGTCGCAGGTTTTAGCGGGAGCGTCCCGGCCACCGCGCTCGGGAGGGCCAATCACCGACTAGCCGGAATCGGGCAGATCCGTTTTGGGGTAAGGGTCCGAAAGCTTCCTTGTCCTCCACGACTCCGTTAATGCAGTCCCCGGCGCTGTCCGCCGACCAAAGAATTATGTATACACACATATATACATACATACATACATACATACATACATACATACATACATACATACATACATACATACATACATACATACATACATAAATATGAATGTGCGTGTGCGTGTACACGTGTGTGTACATGTGTGTGTGTACATGTGTGTGTGTGTGTTAGATTGTGTTAGATTGTGTTAGATTGTGTTAGATTGTGTTAGATTGTGTTAGATTGTGTTAGATTGTGTTAGATTGTGTGTGTTAGATTTTTTGTGTGTGTGTGTGTGTGTGTGTGTGTTAGATTGTGTGTGTTAGATTGTGCGTGTTAGATTGTGCGTGTTAGATTGTGTGTGTTAGATTGTGAGTGTTAGACTGTGTGTGTTAGATTGTGTGTGTTAGATTGTGTGTGTGTTAGATTGTGTGTGTGTGTGTTAGATTGTGTGTGTTAGATTGTGTGTGTTAGAGTGTGTGTGTGTGTGTGTGTGTGTGTGTTCGATTGTGTGTCTTAGATTGTGTGTGTGTGATTGTGTGTGTGTGTGTGTGTGTGTGTGTGTGTGTGTGTTTTTGCAGGTGTTGGGCACGCTAGCCAACGTCACGCTGGAGGAGGTTCTTGCCAGCTCCAGTGATTGCAACGAATGTTCGGACCGCTGATGCCCTGATGAGCTTTGTTTCATTTTTGCTTCCGATAGTTTCGGCTCAAGATGTAAGTCACCAGAGCTGCTACCTTCGCCATGTACAATTTAAGCAGCACCTGCCTTCTTCGACGATGAAGCGCCCAGCTCCTGTTCAGTTTTTACCAGCCAAGCCAGTACTGTTTTGGGCACTGACGGATATTCCCAGCATAAATGCGAAGCAGCTGCCTGGAAATCCGTCAGCAAGCCAGGGCTGGACGATTTCATCACGGGAATGCGGTTCGCCTCAACCTCCGAAACGCCCCAGCAAGGGTTTGCCGAATGAACGAACGCCTTCGATTGGGCGACCAGCCTCTGCGCCGCAGCTGAGGAGCAAGACGCCAGCGCAGGCCCAGCAGCCATGCACGACGCGGGGACGGAAGCTTCAAGCTCGACAGAGCCATGGCAGGGAGGCTAGCCGGGAGGCTAGCAAGGAGAGCAAGGAGGCGTCTGCAATGACAGTGCCCTTCATATTGTCGTACGACCCCCGACAGAAAGCTGCTGAGAAACCAGACAAACGGAACAGCCAGCAAGTTGAGCTTTGTGCGCGTGTGCCTTCGGGCAGACCGCCGAGCAAGGGCGCACAGATCAAAAAGCAAAGAATGGCTTGGCAGGAGAGTGCTTCCGACAAGATGGCACAGCAGCTAGGATACCAGCCAGGGTTGCCGCGCAAGCCGGGAGCACAGTCTCTGATTCCCAAGCAGGTGTCGGACTTGCCAAATGTTCTGGCCCACATGGGGCGTCTGAAAGCTGAGCAACTCGAGCTAGCACAGCAAGGCGAAGGCCTCGAAGGAGTGAAGATTAAGACCTGCAAGGATGTTTGTGTGTTGGAGTTTCCTGACAATGGGGCTCGTTTGTTAGTGAATCGGTGGAGGCCGGGTTACAGCGAGCGGACCGAGCGGCAGCAACCAAACCGCGCTCAAAGCGCCCCTGGCCGCAGGACGCGCTCGAGCCCACAGCTTTCACCATCAGTGTCTACAGGTTTTCCACGCACGCCGGTGAAGCCAGTACAGTCTGTACAAAGCGCCCAAACGGGCAGCCAAGGTATCAGCGTGCTGCATTTTGAACTCATAGGCCAAGCCGAGTAGAGTTAGTAGAGTAGTAGAGTAGGTGCGAGACCTGTGACCCATTGTTCGACCCGCAGCACTTGTGCAAGAGCTTTGCAAACTCAGGCATGCAGCAATGCAGCAGTCACGTATCAGTACTTGGCACAGAAACGGCCCCTTTTAGTCGTTGAAGCATTTCATCGGCTCCAGCACACCTAGCCATGACCGAGCCCTCCCGAGATCCTGCAGCCTATGAGGCGCTTGGTGCATCTTCGGTACATCTTTGGTGCTCGCCCCGCCAGATGCCCCGCCAGATGCCCTGCCAGGTTCCGAAAGCCAAAGGTTCAACACATCTTGGCAGCGCCGCCATCGATGTGAAGCTCGGCTCTTGGATCTCTGTTGGATCTCTTGGTCCCTCTGAGTCCCTCTATTAGACCCTCTATAGTCCCTCTATAGCCGACGTTTGGTTTGTTTGCAGATATGTGCGGCATGGCGCATTGTGCAGCTTCAGGCTGTCGGAGACGGAATGGAGCGAGAAACTTCGGACAAACGTGTTCAAGGACTGGCGTTGAGTCGAATCAATGTCGCTGTGAAGCTGACGCTTTCCAAGAACGACTGAAAGGTTCTTCGGAAAAAGGCGACGGAGCCTGGGCATCGTATCAAGTTCCCTGAAGGCCTTTCTGCTATGTTCTGCTTCTGGCCTTCTGTCATCTTCTGTCCTTTGTGAGCCCGTGCTCCGGTGCTGGTGCTGGTGCTGGTGCGAGGCTTCGACGATCACAAGGATTCCGGCATCTACGTCTGCGGGGGATGTTTTGCAGCCGGGCGGCAGGTGTGGCAGTGGTGTGATGCAGGTGGGTGCAGGTGGATTTCCGAGATGGCATCTGTTCGCTCTTGGAGGTCCCTCTGTACAGCAGCAGCATGAAGTTTGACTGCGGATGTGGTTGGCCCGGATTTTGGGCTAACGTCAAGGCGCGCATTGTCCTTGTCAGCAGAAGAGGGGGTTCGTGAGCTTAGTTTTTGGGATGAGACTCGGAGACAGTTATCCCTTGTTGGAGGATGCCGTCTACGAGCAAAGAGATGCTGACGGGCGAAGGCCGGAATTCCACTTGCAGTCACTTGCAGTATCTGAAGCAGAGAACATCCCTGCTTAGGTGCGAAATTCTCTGTTCAAAGTGTCGCCTCCTCGGTCGCTCATCACATGGCCGCGTACGGGGGAAAAGAAGCTGACGGCTGAAGGTGATGGCCACCTGGGGCATGTCTTCCGTGGCGAGGCAAAATCTCATGGGTGAAGGGCAAAGTGGCAAAGTGTATGCCAGAGAAGTGCAAAGTGTGTCCGGTGCAATGCTTCGGCAGGCCTTCGGATATTGCACAGATGAGCGGCACTGCGTGAACTCGCTGAGCCTGGTGTAACTTTGGCCTGTTGGACATTTCAACTGTTTCCACATGTTTCCAGCTGGTTCCCCATGATTCCTGCAACGGGTGCTTTTGCGCAAGGTTTCTGCCGGCCAAAGGCGGTGAGGCGGTGGTGCCGTCATACACGGGACCAGTCTTTGGGACGGCCTGGCAATTTGAACGCGCGCGGTGCAAGTGACTGTGATTCCTGTGGTTCTGAGCTGAGCTAAACATGTTGCAACGGGTGCTTGCTTGGCGAGCATGTCCACGTCCACGCCAGGTAATCTTGTGGCAAAGTGATTCGAAGCATGAGCAGGGTCTGGTCGAAGTCTGTGATCTTTTGGCAGCCTTGCAGCCCAGCAGTTCCGTGTTGCAGAACGCTGCGGCATTTTCTGGAGCTAGCAGAATTCACAACAATCTTCTCTGCTGCGATGCGAAAAACGTGGTCACCGGCATGCTCTGCATATGCTCTGCAATCAAGTCCCATAAGTTCATAAGCATCTAGGCCGCTCTGTGTGCCAGCCGCCTGTCTCCATGCAGGTGCCTTGGGCGGAGCTTTGTGAGGCGGGACTCCTGGAGCTCCTCACACGGCTCCTGGTGCCCAGCTTCTCCGAGGCATTCTCAGCGAAACTCAAACAGTTTTTCAAGAGTAGTTCAAGAATAGTTCTCAAGATATCCCAAGCCACGCTGGACAGGATGACGTGGTGCTGGAGTGTGTGCTGCTGGCCAGTAATCTGGCCTGCTGTCCAGCTTCTCTGGCCTGTTTGTTCTGGTGTGGGTCTCGTGTTAAGCTTGCCGTGTGAACGTGTGTGAACCGTGTGAAACGTTTGTTTGAACCTTGATGCGCAGGAATCGGCGCAGCACATTGCAGGCTCCCGGCTCCCGGCATTGATGCAGGACTCCACGGTTTCCAAAAAGATGATGGAATCTGGCTGCTCCGGTGGCAGTGCAACAAGCGACTGCACCATGCCACAACAAGCGTGCATCCAAAGTTTAGGCACAGCTTATGGTCTGAAGCAGCATCCACACTGAAGGAACAAGAAGCAAAGCAGCCCACAAGGAAACAAGGAAACAAGGGGCCCTACACTCCCATCACTCCCATCTCGTACCCACCCCATGGGCGAAAAATCAGTGATGCTCAATGTAAAGGGGCTAATGGATGGCGTTTCAGTAGCTACCTGTCGGATTTACTACGGGCTGGCCCGATTCCCTGAGCAAACTTCCTTCAGGTAGGCAAGGAAAAAGACTGTGAGCATCTCCTCACTTCCCTGAGGTATCACTTTCTGGGCCCAAAAAGGGCTAAATCGGCTCAGCTCGTGCAAAGAAGAGTCCCGCAGCACGAGCGCCAAACAGGGGCTGGCCGTCATGGCTGCTACGGTTGGCTAAAGCTCGCCACGACCACTGCTTTCCAAAACATCGACTGCTGTTGGGTCTTGCTAGGACTTGCTTGTGGAGAAGCGAGAGGACGAGGTGAGTTTGCCCTGCCTTGCCGCAGCAGCTGAAATTTTGAGCAGAACTTTGAACCCACGACATGCAGTCTACAAAGACAGCGAAGGAGATTGTTGTCCAGCTACTCTTCACGTTCCATTGCCTGCTACTCCATGATGAGGCCAGCTGGATTTCATAAGCTTCGTTGTCTGCAGAGCGAAAGTGTTCTCCAAAGGTTCGTGAGTTTGTCCTCCAAGAAACGGAGTTGGCACCTTGCATCATGAGGCACTGCTTTGCCAGATTGCTAGTGTGCAGCTTGTGCACGTGTCCGACAAGGACTTTTAATGACGTGAACCCGTTCTGCATCTCACCAGGTTTGCGCGAGCGCGAAATCCTGCGGTGCTGGAGTACGCAACCGCGCTGTTGCAGGCGGGGATGATTCCCCCGCACTCACAGATTCCGCTTGCCTGGTGTGTCTGTGCAGATAGTGGCGACCACCAACGATGCTCCGGGCACGGAGGACTACTGCAGCCAGCGGAAGAAAGCGTCAACCTTTCTTCTTCTGATCCGCAGGATGGTACGCCAGCATGGGTAGAGCAGATCAAGGCCAGTTAAATCGGTCGAATTGTTCGTGCGTTTTCGTTGCTTAAATGTCATGAGCAAGGCATTTCGCTTTGAGCAGCACAATCCGGAGTGGTGTAGATGTGCCAGACACCCGTCTTCCCACATGCAAAAGCTGCTGCTTGCCATTTTCCCTTGTGCTCAGGTCAATCGAGAGTTAAGCGGGGGTACTGGCATGTCTCCTGGTGGAGCATATGGAGGCTATTACGATGAGCATGAGGCACCGAGATTTGATGTACAGCTGGCTTGGTTTTGCAAGATGTTGGTGTTTCCATTTAGTTGGCTATCGCAGCTTCCATGGCCATGGTTGAGCAGGGCAGCGGCGTGGAGGATGAGGAAGAGTTCGCATTCCATTGGCCATCACCTTAGAATGCCGTCAATGCCTCGCTCTCACAAACTTGGTACTGGCATGAACCGGCATGTGCTAGGGCGGGCGTTGATGCTGCAGATCCTCGTGACCTTGCGAAGCGTGATTGGGCCAACCAGGACAAGTCCCAGCATACCCTTCACGGTGAAAATTTTCCTGCATAACTTGCAGGATTTCGCGAAGCTTTCCCATTCCAGCCGGTGGCAAACATGATTCTCCGCATTACTTCGGGGTGCCGCAGCAAATGCGCAGCGGACTTGTACAGTGCCCTGAGAAAGAGGACAATCGATTCCTCAAGTCTCACTCCATCTCAACAAATCAGAATGTTTTCATGCATGCCTCAAGATAAAAACTCATGCCAGGCTGCCTGCTCAGCTATGCTTGTGTCATCATAAACACGTTCATGAAGTAACCGCACGATTCAAAGAGGGGAGCCTTCCTTAGGAGCACTAGCCCACTCCACTTCTGGACTTGCTGCACGATCTGCTTTCCGCGTCCCGCGCCATCAAGCAGAAGCGAGCGTACCCCCCCCTCCCCCCCCTGTCCGGAACATAATGAACTCAGGGCGAGTGTGACGAACACGATGCAGCGTCAGAAAGTTACAGCTGCGCTCTGCAATCTAGCGATTGCATCGGAATGACGACAGGTTCAATCGGACAACTCCTCGGCCATGCACCAGCGTGTGTAAGGGGCACATGGCGGCATCGCACGAAGATGTAACATGCACCTGGATCCCCCCCCCCCCGCCGTGTCATCCTCGGCACACTTGCAAGTGCCAGGATGGCATTTCGCGGTGGTCGGCCCTATTTCCTCGGGATGTCGCCCTACACTCATCAACACAAAGCCGACCTCCAGCTGCATTGCCATGTGACTGCACCTCCTCGCCTGCCCAAAGCATGCCTGGTGCGGGTAATGCGGCGTGAGAGCTGGACAGTTGCCTATGGTGGCATATCGTACACCCGGCCTCACAAGGCACGTCAATGTGAGATTTCATCAGGATTTCGGAGAAATGCCCGAAATGTAGGATGCTCGCAGCGTGCATGCCGACGTCTCCACTATCGCATCCTTCACATCTGTGTGTGCAATCACACCCATGATGGGCAAAATGCGTCTGGCAGACAGCGTGTGATTTCAGTTCACAACATGTTGCGTTGGAAGGTGATTTTGCTTCTGAGTTGCTCAACGTCGCGCGATCGGTGATGTTTGCTCGGACTCTTGGTACATTCCTCTTCTATGTTCTTCGCCCTTCTCTCTCTCTCTCTCCCGCTCATCTTCTTGTGTCTTCCTGCTTTTGTAAACAGGTTCTTGATTCTACCGCAAGAGAAATGCCGATGTCATTTGCAGTGTACGGAATGCCGCAATGCCGGAGTCTTCGGAGGCTTGTCTCCCTTTGTCTCCATTTGTGGGTGGTTTTTGTTCAGGTTACGAATTAGCTCCCCCTGAAACTTGAGGGGATCCTGTCGTCTGTCTTCAGGTCTTCAGGCTACTCCCCGGGCTGGTGCTGGTTTTTGGGGCTGTGGCAGCCCGAGTCTCTATGCATGGATGAGGACCTCCATGCATCGGGAAGCTGATGTTGGCATGACGAGTGCGCCCTAAACCCCAGAACACACGCTACCCTTTTGTCAGCCCTGGATTCCATTGGCAAACATCGTCGCGTGCTAGGAAACAAATGCGCTGCGTCATGCAAGTGAGGGCCTCCTTTTTTCAGACCGATCTTGGGTCTCAAGTTTCCGTTGTTTTGTTTCTTGGATGGGATGAGCCTTGGGCAACCCTCGCATGCCTCGCCTGCCTTGAACAATGAATGCCCCGTTCGCTTACTTGCAGTCCCTTTCGGGAAGCCCCCTTTACGCGCCCTCTGCCTTGCAGAGCTTTCGTCCCCCCCCCCTTTAGGCGCAAGCTTCATTTTGAAGTTTGTCTCTCCTTGTCACTGCTGGGAGAATGTTCATGGAAGTGCACCATCGCGGCAGATGAGTATTTAGATTGTTAAGACGTGTAGGCGCACGAAACGCAGCCCCCCAAGTGGCCCATTCACCAGTGCTGCTTTGCTTCTTTCTGCCGGATTTGTCACCTCCGCGAGAATGCTTTGCCCATCTCCTTCCAGCCTCCATCTCCAGCGGCAACCGTCTGGTAGTCCTGGGGCAGCCAGCTTTGCAAAGCCAAGACTAGCACGAAGTTTGAGTGATTCAGAGTTTTTTTTAACCGCGGCAAAACACACTCAAAATTCTTGCTCATGGCGATGTGCCGTGGTTACGAGAGGCACGTGGGCCGCATTGGTCATGCTGCGAAAACAGCCACTGCAGTCGAAGAAGCCTTCGGAACCGAACACATCAGGACAAAGAAACGAACCAGGTGCTCTAAGCGGCTTGCGTAGAGTCCCCCAGCTCAGAATTGCGCGCAAGTTGTTGTCTGCTGGCATCGGCCGGTAGGCTTGGTGTGAACAGCTGCCAGGCTCACGTTGACCAGACGCCTGTAAAGACTTGCGAGCGAAAGCACAGATCAACTGGAAAGGTTTTCAGTTTGGGGCGGACCATCCACAACGGGCCAGGCCTGCGCACAGAACACCGCTTGGTTGGAGGGGTCAGTATGTTGCCTGGCCTTCGGCAAGGTTCACTCCTCACCTGGCAACAGGTTTCTAGAGATTTGCTTCAAAGGCCCAAGTTTGGGAAGGCGTGAGACCACTTGGCGCACATGTGCAGGCCAGGTAGAAGACCAGCGATTGCACGTGTCTTTTTTTCCTCTCTCTCTTTCTCTCTCTTTCTCTCTCTTTTTTTGCTTTGGACTCGACTGACAGCGCGCCCGCACACCTGCAGCATCCTGCAGCACTCTGTCAGTCACCCCGCCCACTCTGTTGCTTCTGTCTTTCGTCAGACGGCGTTGTTTTCAGAAGCCCAACGAGGATGTGCCTGCAGCGGGCCGCCGCGAATCACAACGATGCTGCTACTGTTATTGCTGCTATGCGTGTTTTCCTTCTCAGCACAACCGTTGCTACCATGGCTCTTGCGTTTCCAGTGGGGTTGTTTGGATCACTGCTTTTGCGCCGAAGTTTCCTCCAAAATCTTTCGTTCGCGCGCGCATTTGCCTGAATGCTGCCAAAACGCGGCTGCCCAGCAGGTGCTTTGCCTTTCGCAGCACCTTTGATCACAGCAGCACTTGGGTCGGTGACCCCGTCCTACTTACCCAAGACTTGCATTAAATACATGGCCCATCCCTCATTCCCTTGGTAGTTGTAGTTAAACACTTGCATATACTTGAACCATCACTAGAATTGGTTTGTGTTGAAAACAAGTGGCCGTTGAATCGAACACGCCATTCCTGCGAAAGGGGAAGAAAGCAAGCAGTCGACACGCTGGCGCCAAACGAGGCTTTTTTGAAATACAATGCCAAGGGAGTGTCAAGTGCAACTCAATTGAGCTGAGTATGCGAAGCCATGTCGAAAGTGACGTCTGATCGTTGAGGATTTGCGAATCGACAAATTTGCCACTCGGGGGCAGCGTCACGAGCGGCCGGCAGGTCGCACGGGTTTCACAATGTCATGTGCATACATTCGGATGTGCAGACGCGGGTCAGCGAGAGCCGCCGCGACGAGCGAGGCCGCGGGCGTGCCGCCGTATGAGTGCCGCCGTGAAAGCGCGCGCGCGCCGCCTGCGAGAGTACGCGCCGCCACGACGAGAGCGAGCGTCGCAACGAGAGCGGGCGCCTCCGGCAGAGCAAGCGTCACCGCGCGAGCGCGAGCGCTGCGGCGAGCGCGAGCGCTGCCGCGAGCGCGAGCGCCGCAACAAGCGCGACACCGGCACGAGCGCGAGTGCCGCCGCGGCAAGCTCGCGCCAGCGACGCCGCCCTCGCAAGCCCACGCCAGCGACGTGGCGCAAGCGACGTGGCGCAAGCGACGTGGCGCAAGCGACGTGGCGCAAGCGACGTGGCGCAAGCACGCGCAAGCAACGCCCTGCAAGCCTGCGCAAGCGACGCCGTGCAAGCCTGCGCAAGCGACGCCGTGCAAGCCCGCGCAAGCGACGCCGCGCAAGCGACGCCGCGCAAGCCCACGCAAGCCGTCGACGCCGCGCAAGCCCGCGCAAGCCGTCGACTCCGCGCAAGCCCGTGCTTGCAAGCCGTCGACCCCGCGCAAGTCCGCGCAAGCCGTCGACGCCGCGCATGCGCACGCCCGCGCAAAGCCGTCGACGCCGCTCAGGCCCGCGCAAGCCCGCGCAAACCGTCGATGCCGCGCAGGCCCGCGCAAGCCGCCGCAAGCCTCGACGCTGCGCAAGGCCGCCGCAAGCCTCGATGCCGCGCCAGCCTGCGTAAGCCGTCGACGCCGCGCAAGCCCGCGCAAGCCGCGACGCCGCAGAAGCCCGCCATGCAAGCGGCCGCGCAACACCGCGCAAGGTCGCGCAAGCGACGTGTCGCAGACTCGCGCTAGCGATGCAGTGCAAGCCCGCGTTGCAGCGATGCCGCGCAAACGACGGCGACCGACGGCGAGCGACGCCGAACGACGCCGAGCGGACGCCGAGCGAACGTCGAGCGACGCCGGGCGACGCTGAGCGACGCCGAGTGACGCGGAGCCACGCCGAGCGCGAAGCGACACGGAGCCACGCCGAGCGCGAAGCGACACGGAGCGCCGAGCAGCGACGAGTGAAGACGAGTGATGCCCAGTAACATCCGTTGAGGCCTCATTCGTGTTCGCTCGTCTTCGCTCGTGTGCGTGCCTTCGCTCGTTTTCGCTCGTCTACGCTCGTTTTCGCCCGTCGTCGTTCGTCTTTGCAGGTCTCTTTCCGTTTTGTTTGTCTTCACTCGTCGTCGCTCGTTTTCGCTCGTCGCTCGTCTTCACTTGTCGTCGTTCGTATTTGCAGGTCTCTTTCCCATTCCCCTTGTTTTCACTCCTGGTCTCTGTCTTCGCTCATCTTCGCTCGTTTTCGCTCGTTTTTGCTCGTGTTCGCTCGTTTTTGTTCGTTTTCGGTCGCCTTCGCTCGTCTTCGCTTGTTTTCGCTCGTCATCGTCACTCGTTTTCGTTCGTCGTCGCTCGTTTTCGCTCGTCGTCGTTCGTTTTTTGCTGGTCTCCTTCCTTTTCGCTTGTTTTCACTGTTGTCGCTCGTTTTCCGGCGTCTTGGATCCTTTACGCACGTGTGTTCGCCCGTTTTGCCTGTTTTCGCTCGTCGTCGCTGGCTGGTTTTCGCATGTTTTCGCTGGTCGTTTCGTCGCTCGATTGCTCATCTGCGCGT